TATTTTTTTAAACTTATGCATGTCGCATTTTGGTTTACTTTACTAAATTATTTAACCATACAAAAAATATTTCTACTTATTAAAAAAATGATTTAGAATTTTGTTTCATGGGTGAAAAACTCATTTGTTTGGCATTGTATGTGGAATATTTAGCAAGTTTATCTTAGATTGAAGAGTGCACATATGAACTATATTTTACAAATTAATTCACCTAAGATTTGAACATAAACAATAATGTTTATTAAATTATTAGTAAGAAAAATGTACTTTAAAAATTATAATTGCCAAAAAGCAACTAATATATGGTACGAGATTATGAAAATTATAGACTAAATTATTGAAGCAATTATGTTGTGTGGAAAAATCAAGTATGATATTGTTCTTTTAGCGCAGATACTAAAGGGTCCGCCATATAACTTTTTTTTATTGGTAGCAATTTAGAATTTATGACAGCCATTTCAATGAAATTATTTTCGATTATTAACCAGAAGGATTGCACTTTCAAATAGATTTAAATTGAGAAAATATAAAATATATTTTATAAAAAAAAAAGTTATCTGACGGACGCTTTATATTATTCTTTTCTGAATTTCTTATACTGCTTATGCCAAGACCACAAATGAATCACAAAGGCAGGACATCAAATAGAATATTAAAAAGATTGGGATAGGATATTAAAAAAATTGGAACTTTTGAATTGTAGACGTGGGTACAAAATAACGCCTGTCGGGTCATCTAGTATATATATATATATATATATATATATAATTCTCCCTTTCATTGACAATTTCAAGCACGAACTCGAAATAAATTACCCATAATCCATAAATAATATAAATATATGTTCCTTTCTCTCAATTTGTATCATTACATTCTTGAATTCATGTTACGTGGAAAATACGTATACTACGGGGTTGAATTCAAGAAAATTTCCACCGATATATCATGCAATAAAAGGTTTTCTGGGAAAACAGTCGGAATGAAATTAACACGTTAATGTATGCGTCGTAGGGTAGAAGTAGGAAAATCACGAAGATTTTTATCAGTTTTCATCTGCTCTTTATTATGATTATATGATTTTAAGGTAGTCGTTTATTTATTTACCAGCAATCAAAACTCGATGAGTCATATGAGCTTTTACCCGGCAACCCAGACGGTTGTCCTATCTCTATGTGATGAATTTATTTATAACATTATACAATTCATTGATGCGGTAATGCTAGATGAGGCCAATTTTTATTTGGAAACATTACCATCTATATTTTCAAGTAAAAACCGATGCCAATACTACAAGACATTTGGCTGTCCGAGGTTAGTATCTAACCTAAAACCTTCTGGCTGGAAGACCAAAGTTTTAATCAGTAGGCTATGAAAAAGTATTTATTGAATTATATAAAATGAAGTTAATAAGTATATAAACAATAAATAGTCCTAGAAATGTTATTCACGGTTACGGGCCCAAAGTTTAGATAAACAAAATTAATAAAAGTTAACCACAATAATGGAAAATTGGTCATAATTTCACCAAAGCTCTAAGTTGCATTTAACACCTCATAATTTCCAAACAACATGAGATATTTGTTTTTCTAATGTTTTTTTCAAAACAATTAAGGTCAAAGGTCTGGGACACCCTGTATAGTTGTATCCTTTTAATTTTTCGGCATTATATTTTATTATGATAAAAGTGATAGTTTAATAAATCTACTACCTTACTATAATGTACATACTGCTCTTTTTATTGTATTGCATATACTAATTTATACTTCACTGGTTGCAAAAACTTCCTGATATATGTATAGAATAGACT